ACCATAGCATGTTAAAACTGAAAAAGGTATCATCATAACTCAAAACTACAAAGTAAATATATAAAGATCCAAGTTGACATCCAGTGTCGAAATGAGAATTCCCAAATTCACATTGAATTTTTCTACTATTATATGCTATTGATACTCCTAAAGCAATATGACCAAATTATTTGATAAACAAGAAAAACTAGTGACTGGCCCTATTCAGGCAGTTAACCTGGGGTTCTAGTGGGAAGCCGTGACCAGTAGGGTGCGGCAGGTTGAAGATGAGGCAGTAACTCATCGAAGAAGACATTGCAAAATAGTCGCGCTATGCCGTGAATCGGCAGAAGTTAGAATTCATGGGCTGGCCATTGTATCGGATCTCAGTGGCTTAATGGTCTACGAGCTCGCTAGCCTTGTAACCAGAAGGTCCTGGGTTCGAAACCGGGTGGGTGCATACTGACGAAGAGTCCCAAACTAGGACGAAATAGCTGTCCAGTACTTCCAGCTGATTTTCCAATGGTTCTCTAACTGATATCAGCTCATAACGAAATCCTCCATGCAATCAAACAAGAGCCTCAGTGGGAACATCATCACTCACTGAGAAATGCAGGTACATCCAGATGACGAGTCCCAAATAGGACGAAATGCGCATCCTGGATTCCACTGCTAGCCACAATCCACCAATTGTATACTAATTAAATGCCCAGACATCGTCGAAGCATCTGTACAAGAAGCTGACATGTCAACCTGAGACCGAGCACTTCGGTCCAATCAATCGACGGGAAAATCAAAAATTCAATTCAACAAACAAGAAAAGTTTTCGAAAAACTTGTTGGACTTGGATGAAACAGAAATATGATCCGCTTACTTATTCAATTTCTGCAAGTCAAATTAAAAGCAATTTATTAGCTTGGCCTCTTTATGAATCATTATTTGTGCTACATTCAAACAGTAAGGCGAATAAATATCTCCTTATATTTGCTGTTTTTTTCTCAGTTTTCTCAGTAAGAGTTATTTGCAGACAAAATTTAGAATATTCGATTAAATCTCCTCCACACTTCGGTTTAGCCTTACTAATAGGCAAGAGATTGATTACTGGCTCCCTGAACTTAAGGTAAACATACAAATAAAAGCATAAGCGGATTATTTATACATAATATTTAAAATTTACAAAAATTCTGAATAAATCCATCCCCAAGGAAATTCATTTTTTTAGTCTTAAGTTCTAAAATAGACAAACATGAGTATGAGGGGAAAAAAATGGTGAGATGAAAGCTGATAAAAATGTCTAGGACCTTGAATATTTCAAAGAGTGAATACATTAATATATATAAGCTGTTGTGGATGTTTTTTAAACCAATGTCACCAAGTCCACAGCTGCTGAAACTTGGCTTACCGATTATTACCTTACACGGATTAGAACAACTGTGACATACTTCACTCAGTAGGCAGAAAAAATAAAAATTAATTTTATGGTAGTTAAATTTGTATGCAATTTAAGGACATACATTCCTACGAAACTTCAGCATAGATATATTCAAAATTATTTATACATAAGCATTTCACTGATTAAACGAAAAAATCGACAACGAACTACTAAATTTTTGAATGACATACAAATAGTAGTGAAATTAGGCCGTCAATATTTATGTTGCCATCCGAATAATCGTAGTTAATGTCGTTATTTCGGACAAATTTATTTACTTTCGCAGTGGAAATTATTAAGCACATATTTGGGTATATTAATGGATAGTTGATAACCTTTTCTGTCTGGAAATTTACTACAATTACAGTTTGCACTTTTTCAAGATAAAATAATGCAGCATTCATAAGCTAACCAGTGGTTTTCAAGTATTGGTTTGTAGGGATTTGACTGATTGGTTACAGGATATCATCATGAGTTGACATTGGTTAGAGGACCATTGGAAAACCACCTAGGAGTACTGGACAGCTGCTTGGTCCTAGTTTCGGGCTCTTCAGAAGTGCACACACACCATCGCACCAGAGTTCAAACCCAGAACCTCCTGGGTAGAAGTCCGGGTAGCTCGTAGACCATTAAGCCACTGGGACCCGATCCAATGGCCAGCCCATGAATTCCAACTTCTGCCAATTCACGACATAGCGCGACCACTAGCCAATGTCTTCGGCGAGCATTTGTCCTCACACCCGACCTGATGCACCCTACTGGTCACGACTTCCCACTAGAACTCCAGGTAACTACCTACCTGAATAGAGCCTGTCGCTAGTGACCATTTCATTGTTATCTAAGTAGGGACTGATCTAATGGTCTAAGAGTTCGCTACCCAGAAGGTCCTGGGTTCGAACCCTGATGCGGTGGTGTCAGCGCACTGCTGAGGAGTCCGAAACTAGGATGAAGCAGGTGTCTATTACTCCTAGGTTTTTCACTGGTTCTCTAACCAATGTCAGCTCATGATGAAATCCTGTAAACAGTGGTTTCTTGACCACCACTACAACAAAGCGTTACCTCTGATAATAATCATAATATTTAGAAATATGTTCCAAAATTCACAGTGAATAAAAGTGGTAAGAAATATGATCCGTCATTATCCTATTCCAAAATGGAAAGTCCATATATAGAGTTGACAATCACTAACAGTCAGTGCCTTGATAGTAAGTACACTGACGGTTGTTTCTGAAACAGCGTCACATCAGTCAGGTTAATTTCAGTACTTAATCATCTTAGTATAATGAAGACCCAGTTACCTAATGATTGTAGCTTGATTCTTTAGGCAAAGAATATAATATAAAGACGCCAATTTTTTGGTATGTTTCTACACATCATTGAAATGCAAAGTTAGCGCCGAAGGTCTAGTGGAATGAACGCTTCGCAATGAAATCATCCAACTTGAAGAAAACAATAAAATTGCCAACCAATCTCTATTATTTTCAGAACAGTGTACATCTGAACTGATGTTTCAAACTTTGTTGATATACATATTATTATACTTTCATTAGCGATCATAAGATTTTTTAAAATATACTTTATTCCTTTATTTAACGAATGGAACATAGGGCTTCGGACTAGAGCCTTAAAGTGCCAATAGCAGTGGTTTCACTTGTACAGAGTGGGGTTGATATTCGCACGCCCAACTTCACCTCTTTATCGGCCTTACTACTAGCTAAGCCACCTGTAGGATTGCGTCGGCTGGGGACTAAACTCTGAACCACTTGTGGGTTGGTTGGCAATCATAAGAAGCAAGTATTAATATAAGGCTTCTTAACATTCATCACATTCTCTAGACTATTACTTTCAGAGGTGGAGATTTCGATAACCCAATGTTTGTTTTCTGTTATACACGTCAATTCCTATTTCGGATTATGATCTTTAATTATATCTTTGAATTTTTATTCAAATGTCTAATCTAATTTTCTACTCATGCACATAAACGGAGTAGGAAAGTTGTATAAGTAACCTGATATGATTATGAGCAATAATTTGTGCTCGAAACGTCATTAGTAAATATTACTGCATAATGGAATTAGAGTAGTTTCTCTGCATGTTTTCTCTCTGACTTAATAAAGTGTAGTAGTCTGGATGGATATACATTTGTGCAATGGTCTAAGTTGAAAGTTCAGCTCGATTCACCTCAGCTTATATATATACGGAACTATTCCACCATAAATTATTTATGTATAAATAATTTCAATACTGAGAATGGAGTCATTCAATATGGTTTGTAGGGCTGTTAGTGAAATTCAGAAGACCTATTTTTCTTCACAAACTTAAAAAGATTGCGAGAATCAACAGTGATTACGGAAAAAAAAACAAAAAAACCATAACTGCATTTCTCACTGGTTTAGATACGCAGGAAAAAAGAACTGCTTAAGATTCCTGTAAACTGACGCATAATGCAGTATTCCTTCACGATATGTCATTGAGCTCAGTAGGTGTATTAAAAGAAGTTCGACTGGTAGGTTTTGATAATAATACATGTGAACATATAGTACAGAAATTTGCAGAGTATTTGGTTCCAAAACATTCCCTCTTCATACACTATTTCCATGTAAAGTAATAATCTGAAGTATATCATGTGATGTATGAAGAAAGAACGAATTCAGATATGTTGACTAAAAACAGTTGTTGATACAAGTTTTATCCTACAAAAGTTCAGGTTAGGTGACAATAATCAGTATGATAGTGTAGGGTTGTCGACACTATAAAATGCGCTGTTAAGTGTCTCTTTAAAAATGAAAGAATTAGCGTTCGCCAAGTGTGGGGGAAAGGAGAGGGAGGGGAGAAATTGCACATCCTGACATAATCTACGACAAGTCATATCTGCTTGTGAGGCATGCAGTATGAAATAGAATCCACCAACAGACAGACTAATTGTGACTATCTTCACGCAGTTGTGCCCTTGGCTCACAGCTCATGAGAAAACAAATACCTTTACTCGAAAGAAATCAACTTTTACAGTGTGTACAGGCTAAAACCACCTACAACAATTTATACGTGCATAGAGTAATTCAGCTTATATCCCCCCCCCCAAACACACATTTTCACTATTCGCTCATGAAATATCGGTACATATGCGAATCGCTCCTTTGGCATTTCCCAGACGTGTGTACTGTTCACCAATTCGTTCTATCATACTTCACACCCAAAAAGATACCAGTCGAAAAGCAGAAATATGAATAGATTACCATCATCCGATTGTAAACACCGCCATTATGACGCCTATGCCACATATAACGATATAGAGAGAGTGAGAACAACACAAGGTTCAGTCTTAGTTAGGTGAGGACTGCAAACCAATGCATCAGGTTGTGAAGCGAAATCGATTGTAGACGGCTAAGATACATGTTAAGCACAACAAGCTACAACCTCCTCAACGAACGATGTTAACCGAAGCTTCATTAGCCTCGAAGAGTTAGGCTTCGTCAAATACAAACATGGACATCACATCAACCCATCAGGTCTTTTTCATTTTTGATTTCAATGAATAACTAACCATGCAGGGAGGGAAGCTTTGACTGTCCGGCTAATGCACAGAGGATGATGGGAATCAATGGTTGTGGAATGACTCAATTTCATTTCCAATCTCCCAAATGTATGCATCCACTCCTTGTTAGCCTCCACAGTTTGTGGAAATCCTTAATAGTCTTCTCCATCGAATTCTTCTTTGTCGTGTTGTTTCAACTCTTCTATTGCAGTTGTATTGCATTTATTTTCTTGTTTGCTTTCCGAAGTGTGGTGATTTGAACTGATGCACTTTTGTAGAAAGTTCAACGTAATCAAGTCAGTCGTAGCAAAGTCACCTCAGCATTCTGTGATATTTGTTGAAACCTTCGTGTTAACAACGATTGAAAAAGGGTGTTAATGACTACCATACAGCACACAATCTAGATGTCGCATTATCTATGGATTCATAATTTCTGTTCAAATTTGGGAAACACACGGTTCACGAGAGCCTCAATCTCAGAAATCAAATGTGAAACAAATATATTCTCCTCAAACATCTCTTATCTGACATCAGTTCATTAGGTAGGCTAATCTTAGGTTCACCTAACCTCCTACTAAAAGCTATCGAAATGAAAACTGAACTACTGGTGCACTGTATCTCAAAAAACGCAATCAATGTTCAAAACAATGAAACAGTGTATCAACAACAAACAAAAAAGCAGCATTTCAAGGAATTGTCCTAATGTAGACACATTTCTCTTTTCTTTTCTTTTTTTAACCTTTCATATAATAGTTTAAGGAAAGTTTTCAAAGAAAATAGTGTTACATATCCACTATGAGTTATACATTCACTTATATTATATTATATCAAGACGAAAAGATAAATAGTTCAACATGGAACACTTCCAAGCACACAATCTCCTGATTTTATAATAAATATATTAATCAGTAAAACAAGAAAATGCCCAATTTTTTCAATCTATAAATCTGCAAATTTATACTGATGAAAGTATAGGGAATAAACTAGGGAGAAAAAAAAAACAAAACAAGGGAAAATGTAACAATAAAGGTAATATTTTGATGACAGCGACATAAAAAGTACATTTTTTTTTTAAAAAAAAAGTCATTTAAATAACTGACTTATTTATCAAAGAAAATTTGTAATGGACGTGTGAAAGCGACAAGACAACAACAACAACGAGGACAAAACCACAACAGCTGGTGGCTGATTATTGTCCTTCGCCTAAGGGTATATGAAATATAAGATACATCATCAACCAACCACAAGTAGAACCAAACACAACATTGAATAAAATGAAAATAAAAATAAAAACCCAGCAGAACATACACTGGTTCATATTTGTTCAATCAATTCATAAATAGTCATAAAAACAAGATAAGAGATTCAATTTTCTGCAAATAAGCATACGATTAAAAAAAACTAGTCTTTTCTTGGAAATAGTTGGGGAAAGTAAAACAAGGAGAATATATATATATATATATATATATATATCAACGAAAAATAATCATAATAATAACAAGGATATGGTTAGCATGGACAATCAGATTTACTTTAAAGTCTACTAGGTAGTAGAGAGAATATTACATGGGAAGAAAAAGGTGTAATCTCACATCTTCGACAACAACAAATAAAAAACAGAACAACATTCACAGCAATAAGAAAAATGTTGAATATCCGGGGGAAAAATAAGCACCTATCTGACTTGTTCATTAAAATAAACTTTTTCAGTTGCATTAATCATACTACTTAATAATTAAGATATTAAAACTTATAAATATACTCAACAAGAAGGAAAAAATAGGGACAAAATAAAGGAAGGGATTAGTAGAAGCATCACAATTTGTAAATTTAAATTGTCCGCAGAAGTATATTTACAAAAAAACAAAAAACAAAAATGAAGTCAGTATATAAGGGCATGCGCATCTGACGAAAGAACATCCAGAAGTAAAATAAATACATAAACGAAGAAAAAGTAAATACAAACACTCGAAGAAAGAGACACACAACTAACTAACTGACTAACTAACCAACTAACTAACTTGTTGGATTATAGCCACGACGTCTGTGATAGCCTCTATCTTTCATTATATTATGATTAATATTACTGTCATAATGATGTGGATAATAATACCCATTCCAAACAGTTGAAAATGTAGAATATTTACGATCAAGGCAAATCATCAATACTAAAATAGTGGAAATGATCAAAAATACTGCATATTTCGGGATTACAGTACGACTGAATTTTCGAAATAGAGAAAAATTACGATTACGCAATAAAAAAGTGATTATAATACCAATGAAAATACCGATTAGCAGATCTATACCACTATTCCACAGATGAAAAGTATCGATACTTGTAGTTGTATGACAATTATCATTATTACCATTATTATTATTATTATTCACATCATAATCATAACTATTACTATGCGGATTCCATTTAATACCAGGTTTAATGTTTTTATGCTCATCCAAAACAATTTCATTGACATCCCATGGTGATATTTGTGGCTTACGCCCTTCACAATAGCCTGGACCTAGGAGAACACCAGCCGGTATACCACGGCTAATAAGCGAGAAAACAAAGCAGGATAAAGCGTAGTAGTAAGTAGAAACAGACTATTAGCATCATAAATGAAATATTATTCAACTTTTAATCATTAAATTCTAATGTGGTTTGTTAGGAAAACCCAAGTCTACACACATATTAAGTACTTGTATACAAAGATATACATAATTAATAATAAGTGAAGCAGAAGAATGCCAGTATGCAAAAGATTTTCTTTTTCTAACTCATAACAACAGATTTACAATATAATGAATAATACTTCACACAGATTTTCAAGAGGATAATTCATATTCTACACTTTGAGTGTAAACACAAATGATCATTTGCAGCTAGTTTAGAAATAGTTTCGTTAAGATTGTAACAATTAGTCATTCAGTCACAACTTAAAAATATTTTGTGTAAATTCTTTAAACTCATGAATAATAAACTAATATGAGGGAGACCTACAACAAACAAAAAAATCACAAAAGATAACCAACCGGAAGGTCCTGGGTTCGAATCCCGGTAGGTGCATACTACTGAAGAGTCCCAAGCTAGTGGGACGAAACAGCTGTCCAGTACCTCCAGGTTGTCCAATGGTTCTCTAACTAATGTCAGCTCTTGATGAAATCCTGAAAAGTATATCTAACAGTTTAAGTGTTTCTGTGGTTCAACAACTTTTCAAACAAATATCTGGTATAATTGGTGGATGGTGACTAGCAGTGGAATCCAGCTAGGATGCGCATTTCGTCCTATTTGGGACTCGTCATCTGGATGTACCTGCATTTCCCAGTCAGTGAGTGATGATGTTCCCACCGAGGCTGGAACTCTGTGCCCATAGTTTAAAACGCCGAAGCGTTACCCACTAGACCACTTGGGTGGGCCACGAGAGCCACCTCTTGTGCAACGGGTCATATTAATTATTTTAATTGAATTTTAGATTTTCCCGTCAGCTGATTGGACCGAAGTGCTCGGTCTCAGGTTGACATGTCGGCTTCTTGTGGAGATGCTTCAACGATGTCTGGCATTAAATTATATATCCTGGATTCCACTGCTAGTCACCATCCACCAATTAAATTATAATTAAATGCCCAAACATCGTTGAAGCATCTGCACAAGGAGCCGACATGTCAACTTGAGACCGAGCACTTCGGTCCAATCAATCGACGGAAAAATCTGTTTGATAAGAGAAGACATGGTGTAAATCTAATATAGTCAAGCCAGTTGACATTTTGTTATTTATATTGCAGAGTAATCTATAAGGCTAAAGTTATCCTACGTTTCCACTGTCCACTGTACAGCTGAAACACTACATAGATGTAAATAAGTTACAACATATCTGACTTCACAACCTCATGTAAAAAACCGAAGATTTCGGTGTTCCCATTCGTGGATGAATAGTGACTGATTTTATCGATTCCTATGAAGTGGAAAATATTCACTTGTATTAAGACTGATAGGCCTTCGATATCATTACAAAATCAAGAAAAAGTATATGCCAAAAAAACAGGATTGAAAAAAAACGTGAAATTCAGTCGTACTTAATTAAACGACATCTTTGTTCTTCAATACGTGGACCAGCATAAACCAAGTCAACTGTATCCCGAGGACTCCAGAGGCGTTCTGCAACAGCACTTGTAGTCGGCCTAAAGAAGAGAAATAAGACATACACGTACAAAGCCCTGAAAATGAATACTGTAATATTTAGTAAGAGGAATGACAAGTGATTACTATTCACTCAAACTTAACAATCAGTGTCTATTTATTTCCTCCGAAAGGTACCTACAAGAAATAATCAAAAATGAAATATTTTGCTTTGATAACCAGAGATTATCAGGCACAGGACCCCTGAATGATCCAATGAATCTTGAAAAGCTTTTAGGTCTTACCAATAATTTACAAAGTGTGTAAAGTATCCGAAAAAAGGCTTAAAGTCGCACGGGTACTTCAGATTTCTTTACACAGTTTACCCATAAAATGTCTAAAATTCAACTATACTTTGATTGGACAATGGTTACTAACTACTGCGGTATGTCTAGTGCTTTGTTTGGTACATACTGAATTTTCTAAGTCAAGTTTACAATGTGGCCACCATTCTAGGTGACTCACCAACACAGTACACTTTACAGATACGCCCTGATGACAAGTACCAACTAGCATGAAACCTAGGTCCAAGGCTTCCTGCCAATCGTCTCCAACTATCTGATATCAACACATGAATTCAACATATTTTCACTGAATTTATACAATATTAGACGGCATATATCAGTAAAAAAAAAACCTTCCAGGAACACAAACTTATATAGTAATAGTTACTGTTAATAGAAGTTTCGAGTGATTGGTGAGGATGCTATTTTAGCGCACATTCTTTAGCAGTGTATTTAATTATTTTGAAAAATGTCATCTTTAACTTCTGTCTTGATAACGCAGTTCAACAGGTTCCTACTGACATTTCTGTTGAGTAACGAAACTTGTTCGTAGTCTTGAAAAAAAAGATAGATAGATAGACATAAGGAGTACTGCAATTCGAAACTTAATTACATTTACGCTTCACAAGGATTATGCTTGAGGCGCTGATACAATAAAAGTTTCAGTTGATTTTACTCTAATAGGGTTTAGGTAATTCTGCCAGTATTTCATTCAAATCTGGTGTTTAGTGGTAGCAAGGCACACCAATATCTCATATAAGCAGTACCATCCATTTACCAATCAAATTATTACTACAAACAGCCTATACAATGCAAGGTCGTTAAAAAGCATGCAGGTTTAATGTCTGACAGTGTGCCATAAAAATTCAGTTTGATTTAAGAACAATCGATAAAAGTATGATACATGATAACAAACGGATGCCACATATGTCTGAGAGGTGATGACGTAAGAAATCATAACTTTTTAATTCATGAATAATCTCTTATGAAGACATTAATGAAAGTAAAACTCGTAGTTCAGCCAAGAGATACAATTACATCATTCATAAAAAATTTAAATAATGTCATACCAACTAGAAGTCTTACAGTCAGAAACCAACAAGTTAGAACAAATGGCTGGCACCGAACACAGCACTTCAGGTGATGAACATGCAGAAGACGGAAGTGATGAAGATACCTAACCAACAACAACAACAACATTAAGAACAACAAGCAGAAATCACTATCAACGGGAGACACTTGAAAGAAGACAATTCCTCCGCTTATCTCGGCAGCATCGTTTCAACTACAGGCAGATCTCAAAGTCAGAATCGGAAAGGCAAGAAACGCCTTCATCAACCTGAAACCTGTTTGGAAATCTTCCGAACTCAACATAAAGGAACAAGATATGCATTTTCAACATCAATGTCAAGTCGGTCCTTCTTATGCAGGTCAGAAAATTGACCAGCGCCTCATGAAAAGAATTCCCAACAGGTTGAAGACTTTATCAACAACTGCCTTCGCTGGCTCCACACACATCTGAAGATCAAATGGCCTGTCAGAAAGAATTAGTAACAAGAAACTCTAACTGAGGACAAACCAACCAAGAGCCTATTGATCAACAAATGTATCGGACATGCATTGAGGAGGCCGGCGATAGATAAATCGAAAGCCAGGCCATTCCTCGAGTGGAATCCAAATGGTAAGCGACGAGTGGGTCGTCGGTTCAAGGGTGACATAGAAGAGAGTGTGTGAAGAAGAGATGACAGAGTTTGGTCAGTCGTGGAACCAGCCAACTAAAGAGGACGGCAGAAAACACAACAAAGTGGAGATGTGTTGTTCAGGCCCCAAGTTTCACTCGGAACGCAAGGGAATACCTAATAATAACCGTTAAGGCTGTCAGTTCCTCGATATGGATCTGAAACTTTCAGTGTCACGAAAAGCATTCCCAATAGCCATTTGCACACTTTTATCAACACCTGTCGCCACCACCAGCTCCATACACAACATCAGATGGCCAGGAAGAATTAGCAACAAGAAACCAACCAAGAAATCATTGCTCAATAAATACGGAGAAGGAAATGGAAATGGAACAAATACACACTAAGGAGACTATCGGGTGACATCGCGCCTTGGGTGGAATTCAGACGGAAAACTGAGATTTGGGCGTCCGAGGGTGGCATGGAGAACAAGGTGAAATGAACATGTGCTGTTGAAGTCCTACATTTCACTCGGAAACCAAGAGATTAAAAGTAATAATAATAATCTTCAACTTGTTGATTTTCTTATCGGAACTCACAAAATGATCCTATTCTATGGCCGAACTATACTTTAAACGATACAACTCATGAACCAGGTGAAAGTCAGCATTTCAGAGATGATATTTGAAAGAAATTCAACTAGCTAGGATGCAAAACAGTCCACAAGATTCGATAGGCATAGTTTGCAATTTGAAGAAACGAAAACCTCACAACCAAAAGACTAATTTATTTTTTGATTGTTGCTTTTTTTTGTAATATTCGAGTTAGCGTGCCAATTGAATTCTCCATGCTTATTTATACAATGACGTAAAGAGATATTGAATTGAATTTTAACAGCTAAAACAAGAGTAATGATTACTAAGAAGAAGTTTCAGTGTCATAATACCTTGGCTTTTAAAACACCAAAAACTCAAAATTATGCATTCCAAAATCTTTAACGCTATCGTAAAAAAACAGTAAGCTAAATTCCATTTATTTGATTCCAGGATCACTGAAACTTTAAATAAAAGTGTAAGTTTAAAAAAAAATTAATGAGAATAAGAACGCTTACTTAAATGCAGGCACTAATCATGAAAAATGTGAATAATCACGCTTAAACAAGATTACACTCTTCGAAGGTGGATTATTTTATGCATAATATGCATTCATGCAGAAGTAACAATCATATAAAAGCAACAATTGTGTTTGCATTCTCTTTTTTTTCCTCTTAAAACAGACATCGGCTGGTTTTCACTGTGAAAAGGAAAATGTGCATATAATCGATACTCGTGTCAGTTGACTTGAGAGTAGATCTCTAGATGAGGAAGAATGTGTTCACTAGCATATGCACAATTTACAATGAACGATTTACTTATTTCCTTAAACATCATTTAAAAACAATTATAAACTCAGCTTACTAGTTAGATTGCCGTGACCAGTAGGGCGCAGGAGGTCGGCTGTGAGAACAAATACTCGCCGAAGACATTGGTTAGGGGTCGCGCTATGTCGTGAATTGTCAGAAGTTAGAATTCATGGACTGGTCATTGGATCGGGTCCCAGTGGCTTAATTGTCTACGAGCTCGCTAACCTTGTAACCAGAAGGTCTTGGGTTCGAACCCCAGTGGGTGAGTATTGCTGAGGATTCCCAAACTAGTGGGACGAAACAGCTGTCCAGTACTCCCAGGTTTCCCAATGGTTCTCTAACCAATGTCAGCTCATGATGAAATCCTATAACTTAGATTGTGTTTAACTTTAATTACTAGAAGCGAGCGTCGAAAAATCCTACCGAATAAATTACCAAAAAATCATCGAAGTACCGCATGTTTCAAACAACAGAGGCTATTGCGATTCGCCTCAAACAACCAGTACTCTGTGTTCAAAAGAAGCAAGTCCAGCCCCTACTACTGCCCTGGCTGGCCTTCAGTAGAGACTATAAATTCGTGAATTTGTTATATTATCTTTCCTAATTTTTCTGACATTCAGTGTATTTTTATGTTGACGCTATTCAGCTGTAATCTATCAATATTATTGATTTGATGTTATTTAAACAACATTAATGTTGTTCATAACACTAACTCATTCATTCACTATAATGTATGTATAACTGTAGAGCCTGATGATGAAGTTATCGAAAAGAGAAATCTTTGTTCAGTATCCATTCTTTTGAAAATCACTAGAATGTCTGTTCTAGTAAAATTAATTCGGTTATCTTTCTACTTCAGCGCACAAACACACAAATCCGTAAGTCAGTGACATAATGATGATGACAGCACACAGCTGGCGGGGTACAACCTGTGATCAGAAATTATTATATTTCTTTTTTTTTTTTTAAATCACTGGTGTCAATCAAATGCAAATAAAGAAGCTTATATTTTTGACAGTACATATATCGTGCGACGTAAATTAGTCACATTGTAAAAATATACGATTGAATGAAGATAAGTTATCGCAAAAGTACTGATGAACACTTAATACATCAAATTAATCGTTTCTAGAAAAAACGTTCTCCTCTTTCATCACGATAGCTATATAACATGATTAACACAAAGAGTAAGGTATTGACTTTATAGTATATTAATGAAGTGGTCATTTTTTGTTGAAACGTAACACGCCACAAAATAATACTTCGAGTAGAAGTCACTGAGGAAACTTACCAAAAAAAAAAAAAAGAAATCACCAGTGTCATAATACCGGTGATATGACATAACAATAACTCTCACTTTTCATTATCCAGAAACATGCATCACACTGCAACTCGATTTTGTGATATGCGGCTACTTACTTAACAGTGTTCATCATAAACAGAAATTCTTTTTCTTTATTCCTTCACGTACCCCCAGTGGAGCATAGGACTTTGAGCTAGAAGCTTGAAGTTTCTGTAGCAGTGGTATTTATAAATGTTACGGGATTGGGTTGCTAGCCTCACATACCCAACCATTCCTCTTTACCAGCTTTATTACTGGCTTAGTGAGGTAAAGGAGTGCATAGGCCGGGGGGTCAAACCCCGGACCATGTGCATGATCAGCGAGTATCCTAATCACTGTGCCACCGACGCACACATAAACAATATTGATAGTAGTAAACTATCCGAAAAGTGATATTAAACGAAGGCGACCATATTTTGTCAGTATGTCATGTTTTCACCACCACCACACGTTAAGAAGACTACAAATTTCCCACCTGTGTTCCAGAGGAGAAAAATTAGTGAGGTATTTTATATACTACCAGCACTTGAGAGGTATTAAGGCGTATGCATAGGTTAATAAGCTTTCCATGATATATAATTACAAAACAAATATTAAATAGTTGTCTGAAAAGAAATAAGACAAATGTTTTTAAATCAGTTAAATCGATCAATACGACCTTGAAAGTATGTGGAATAAACAAGCGACAAAAATTCAATTACCATATTCTCAATAGGACTGTATAGTCCGACTGGTATTCACTCCACATACAAGCTTCACCACCGAAAATCTGCTGTTGAGTATTTATCGGAGCATCTTTGTAAGAAAGAAAAGACAAGATTAACAAAAAAAACAACAACAACTCAAAATAACGATACAGGCAGAAACTAAAATTAGACGATGCACGTACTACAATTGTTGAGGATACTAATCGAGCATTTCATCAATACACTTATCAGTTGGAAGGAAAAGAAATACAGAATGTATCAAGCAGATGTAGAAAGATAGAGATTTCATTGTAATTTATTGACAGTGCATCACATAGGAAGTCAGTAAGATTCATCTTTCCGATACATTTTGTTCGTCCAGAGTCACCTCATCAAAGAACTTTAGCTATCGATCAAATATTTTGATGCAGGAGGAATTAGAAGCTTGCAGAATCAAAATAACAGCAGATGACTGATTTCTGGTACAACTGATTTAGCTGTCCTGTTACACCTAGGCAATCAGACTGACCCTGGTTAAGGCATTCAAGTTTCTGAACTTCTTATCACCATGTGAATGTAAAGCCAACAAGAAAACGAAAAAGATGTGATTTAAGGTATAGTGTTGTTTCACTACGAAAAGAAGCAAAAATAGACGGAAAGTTCGCAAAGATTTCAAGACTCAGGTGCAAATAAGTTGTAGACGTATTTTTTTTTATGCCAAATGAGACTGATTCCCATGTCATAATGAAGTTTTTTAATCATTGACACATGAACTCCAAGCACAAATGTTAAACTCATTCAAAAGGGTAAACTTCATGTGTTAGTGTTAAGCCTTAATCTAGTTGTGCTTAACTTTAACCCAGTTGAATAGAGAGCACTGTGTTAAACAAGTGCTTTGTATACGTGACATGTGTCTCTATGCTTCGATATCAATCAATATCATAGTTTAATAATTTTGTTTTTCCTTCACTCAGTTTATTTATTTGACCTGGTTTAAGAGAATAAAAGATGAAAATATATATATATATATATCAACACCTAAGACATTCGACAATTCGACTCAAAGGGAATTTACAATCTCGACTGTGGAAATATAAGAGTGGGTTTCATTTTTGCTGCAACTTCCTAGACATATGCACCTATATTGTAGTACGCAATGGTGTTTCCGCCAGAAGCACAAACCATATTTCATTGACTCTGGCTTCTGACTGCTAAGTTACGAGTTAAACTTTACACAACCACAGAGGCTGATAAGCACGTATTTGTTAGTCCGCAAACGAACACTTTAGAAAATGTAATGCTAATTTAGAATTCGTATATAAATAAATGTCAGACCGATATGTCTTAAGAACAGTTATAAATAACTGTCTATATGATGACCTCCGAATCACAAATCACTTATTACATGACACTTTATAAAAAAGGCAATGTGAAGTGGAACAATGGAAAGTTTACTTTAAGGTTGAAAGATAAGTGAAATACTGCAATGTATGCACAGTGAACTTATGAAGCTGAGATTAACTAAAAGTCTTTCCTAGAGACTTTTTAATGATTTTTTGAAGTTATACGTCAATTATTTACAGGTGTAAAGGAGAGATGTTCTGAGGGTAAGAAGTGACTTCCTATTCCTTAAAGGATGTAAGCAGTGAAAAAATTGCTTCACATCATAGAAAGACAATTCGGTGACTTCTGTAAGCTTCGCACTTAAGCAATAAAATAATGAATGCTAAGGGCTTCTAGTGATTACAAAATGAAAAGTAGTCACTTTTCTGCACTGTGACAAATACTCGTCGATGACGCTGGCTGGAAGTGGGCGCTAAATATCACTAACTGACATAAGTTACAATTCACCAGTAATCGAATTCTATCCCAGAGGCTAAAAGCATCCATGAACTTGTCTGGTAGCCTGACGAACCTCGATTCGCTTCCAGGTGGGGTTACAGGTGCAAACTGTTGACGACATCCTAACTAGGAAGACACAACTGCCCACTACTCCCTGGTTTCGAATGTTATTCTAACTAATTTCAATTCATCAAGATGAAGACTAATGAAATCCCCACTGCACTGATATATTGTGGTGAGAGCAGACTGCTAGCCAAATAGCTAGACAATTATTTACGTCAATGTTTATGTACAAAATATTGGTGGTGAGAAAGTATGAACCAGACTGATTCAACAACCAACCACAGCAGACTTGGCGTAGGCAAATACAGTTAACATATAGATGACCTGACATTCAAGAAACAGTCACAAAGAGATGCAAGGTCAACTTTCTGTGAGAAACAACCAATCAGAAGACTGTGTTTGTCTGCTTGAATAAGCTATAATAATGTAGATGAAAATATATAAATGCGTGTTGATTTCTATAATAAACGATCTGTTTCCTGGCCCTTGTCTCCTGTTGTTACAATATGACCCTATATATAATCCCTTACGTGACATACACATTAAGTCTATGATGTAGGTAAAAACCAGTGTAACACGGCTGTCCTAGAACAAAATAGGGAGTTTTCTTCAGATGCGCATAACGGGTGGAAAAAAGGAGTAATTGTAAAAATGAAATAAAGAAAGCTACAAATGCCTCACTTACCATTAGCGGGATCGCACAAATAGAAATCTGTCCAGCGTTTTATATCATTGAGTGAATCTAAATACCAACAGGTGGAGTATACAATATTATGTCCTTGAGATAAATATGAAGTTGGTGAAGTACTCCAAACCTGTATCAATGATGTCTTCTTAACCTATCAAATGAATTAAATAAAAATATTTCACTTCATATTACACACAACTCATCAAATCCATTGGAAAAAAATTCACTGAATAACAAGATTTTAGTGATAACGTTAAAGCCATATATGTATATATTCTTGAAGGAATTCATAAGGAATATCACAATATGGAATATTGTATAAACTACGACGTGTTTTTTTGGACTGATACGTCTCGTGATAGTACACAAAAAAAAAAGAAACAGAAGCATCTCGAATACGAAACAAACTACTCAAAAGCTCGGAAGCAGCTCATACAAAGTGTAGGATGGTCTGCACTTATCCGTGTGAGAGTCACGAGTCCAAGTTTCCGAAGCGTTGCAAATAGCAAGTGGAAAGGCTTGCCGGTAAAATCATATTTCACGACAAGCGACAAGCGTTAGGACATCTGAGTATCGGTCGGTATCACAATCGTTAGAGATGTCATCATGCCAACAGGAAGTCGAAATGCAAAACTTTCTAACAGTTAGCACCAGTCACTACATTTATATACATTGCGGTAAACAATAGTCAATTGTCTGGACTACTGACAGTGGGAATTACATCAATAGGTTATAATTATTACACAACAAAGAGAATGTGTCTGTGAAACTCAGCAAGCAAGCATCTGCAAACTGAGTCAAGAAGTATTCACCATCTGCAGCAACACAGGACCGTTTCATCAACTAACTGACATTCAAACACAACTTTTCCCAAAAGTGCATCAGTTCAAATCGCCAAACTTCGGAAAGCAAACAAGAAAATAAATGCAATACAACTGCAATAGAAGAGTTGAAACAACACGACAAAGAACAATTCGATGAAGAAGACTATTAAGGATTTCCACAAACTGTGGAGGCTAACAAGGAGTGGATGCATACATTTGGGAGATTGGAAATGAAATTGAGTCATTCCACAACCATTGATTCCTATCATCCTGTGTGCACTAGCCGGACAGTCAAAGCTTCCCTCCCTACATGGTTGGTTATTCATTGAAATCAAAAATGAAAAAGATCTGATGGGTTGATGTGATGTCCATGTTCGCATATGATGAAGCCTGACTCTTCGAGGCTAATGAAGCTTCGGTTAACATCGTTCGTTGAGGAGGTTGTAGCTTGTCGTGCCATGTCAATCGATTTCGCTTCACAACCTGATGTCCTGCTTTCCCGTCCTCACCTAACTAAGACTGAGCCTTGTGTTGTTCTCACTCTCTATATCGTTATATGTGGCATAGGCGTCATAATGGCGGTGTTTACAATCGGATGATGGTAATCTATACATATTTCTGCTTTTCGACTGGTATCTTTTTGGGTGTGAAGTATGATAGAGTGAATTGGTGAACAATAAACACATCTAGTGATGGATAGTTGATTATTACGCGATCCAGCAATTGGTAAACTAGCCACTTTTATTCGTGTCAAGAATTTGTTAATAATACATCCGTCAGTTAGTAATGGTGCAGTCCCTGATACAAGTGAATTGGTCAACTAGTTCTTTATCCATTTTTCAAATAGGTGTCAACGCAACAAGTCCTGAACTTTACACTTTATTTATGTGAGGGACAAATCGCTTGATATACACTTAGACTTATATTTTTGCTTCAGGTGTTCAGGAAATTCTGCTTTTTGTCAATATCTTCGCTCAGAGTGACAATAGGCATAGTGTACTTCAGAACAACGAGACTATGCCTTGGTAACAAGTTAATTCCTCAAATATCAGGGTACGCAATGAAATGAAATAGAAATGGTGATAGTGGTCATTCCTGATGAACACCATTGTTTGTCTTAACTTCATGTGGGAACGCTTCAGAAAGCTCGAGGAGACTGGTATAATATACGTCCTCGGCATTGCTATAAGTCCTGTAGATCTACAGAATTAAATTCCGACCTGAAGTCAAGAGATAGGATCAAAGAGACAAGATATCATCATTACACCTTAGTCCATATATGAAGCCTGCTTTGTTTCTCAGACTTCTTTTATCCTAGTTTGACTAAGTTTCTGCAGTGATATGCGGCGATGAAGCTTTGCCTCGTTGGTTAGTCAAGCTGATCCATCTGGGATTATCACAGGGATGTTTGTTTTCTTCCAATATAAAAAACTGGGATGATCAATAATGTATACCAGCGTGATGGTCTTACCACTAGATCCAACATCTTAACTTACAGCTTCGGTAGTCTATTCAGTAAAACACCACCACAATACTCAAAAACTCCTGGTATCACACCGTCCGTATATCTAATACTAACGTCAGCTACAATAAGATGGTTACGTTGATACAATTGTAAGAGGCGATTGCCATTGTCGGTTTGTAGCATGGGACTCCACAGAGACTCCCAATATACATTTTGAGCTGATTGTTTATTTGCCTGAAGATTCAAGTCACTTGTTAAAATGATTGCATTTGAGCGTTTTGGTTTGAGCAGCAAACTCTACTGCTTTTGATTAGATTCATAATTTCCACCGTCCAAATTGAAATTTATTGGTGAGCATGCAGAGATTATGAAAGTGGATTGGCGTGTGTTACTATCTCTCCTTGTGATTACAGATATACTCGGCCATACAACGCACAAACGGCTGTCTCTTGAGCTCAACACTATCCAAACACTAGCCAGTCCATGAAAACTAGCCAACTAATCCCATGACATCCAGGAAGCTACATTTTGTAGTCACCATTTTTGTCACGTGTATGTCCTGTATGCATATCGCAAGGACACAACATGTGTTCACAGCTTCAGATGGCAGATATTTGGCTGGGAAATCCTGCTGTTAGCATAAGAGCAGGATATCGTAATGCCTAATATGACATCGGTAGTGTGGTTTTATTTACTACGAAAAGTGTCAATCCGGCTATAGAGTTAAGAGAAGGTGAAGAAATCATCCAGGGAATGGTGTGGTGAGAGTTGGCTGTTAGCCAAAATTGGTGGACAGTAATTTACTTCAATGCTTATGTCCCCAATATTGGTCGTGAGAAAAATGAGAACAAAGACTTTGCGCAGGCGGATACAGTTAGCATATAAATGATCTGACATTCAAGAAACAGCCACAAAGAGATGCAAGTTTAACTTTCTGGGAGAAACAACCAATGAGAGGACTGTGTTTTTCTGCTAACAATAATCTATAATAGTGTACATGAAGATCTATAAATATGTGTTGATTTCCTTAATAAACGATCTGTTTCCTGGCCCCTGTCTTCTGTTGTTACAATAGTATTAGCAGTGTGAAGAAAACAAGAAACTTTAGGGTGTGGGGGATGAATGATGTCATTTTAAACCATTATTTAAAGCCTTCTGGCTACCCACATCTGACATTGACTTCTTCAAGAAAAGAAACACACTGCCAGTTTAGGTGGAGTTTCCGGTGTTCCGCCACTACGACGGACAACGGACCAACGAAGAGTAAGTTAGGATGCGCGTTTTTTGGGACTTAACTATGCTTACCCATCATTTTTAAGAGCAGGAAAAGAGGATAGTTGCTTTTCTGGTCAACTAAGGAAAGCATCTTACCGCTGTTACACTCGTATCTGCCATCATTACCGTTGAAACCCGAAAATAATATAAACCCCTTACACTATAATGATAACTATCCACTATCCAAGTGAGCCCTTTAGAATAGTGGGACCTGTAGCAACATTCGCTGCAGTCAGCAAGCTCTTCAAGCTCGTGTGGTATGCAAGCAGGACTACTGTAGCAGCTCTAAGTAAACTATCCAGATAGCATTAAAATTCATAAATTTGGTAAGCATCCATTGTTTTATTTTACGAGAACTAAAAGTAAGTTGATTATTTCTAATATTTATTAAATTCTACTGATGATGTGCAATGATCTGTCAAGATATTCACGATCATAAACAGCAGGAAGTTTATTACAATGTTTTGATAAAACACCTATTTATGAACTGAGTGATTCACTGAATTCCATAATTTGTAACCGTTAGTTATATAAGCCCACTTATGAGATTATTGTTCTCCACCTCTTATTCAAAGACTAGTGATACAAATAAAAATTCTCCTCATGTCTGTAGGCGAGACACTCTTATAAGGTATAACGAACGAGACAAGGCAGTTAAAATCTACTGTTATAAATCAATGTCATATTGGTGTATTTATGCATAAAAATTCAACGATCACATGCAAAATTAAAAATAGAAAAAAAATTTTATATATACATACCTCAGTGACATGATTCAATACATCTTGCCATACAATTAAATTCCGCCTTAAATCAGGATTACTGTTACCGATTCTAGTAACTAAATTCTGTACCCTGGAAAAAAAATAAGGTAGAAAATCTTCGTCAAAAATATTATTATAATTCAAAGAATCATACCGATATACGACGTTAAGTGAAGCATGAATCAATTAACATCCGTTGATAAATGAATGTATAGTTTAATTGGTGGATGGTGGCTAGCAGTGGTATCCAACCCAGGATGCGTATTTCGTCCTATTCAGGGACTCGTCAACTGGATGCACACCTGCATTCCCCAGTGAGTGGTGATGTTCCCACCGAGTCTAAAATTCAATTGAACGTATAGTTTGTTGAAAAGTAGTGAACGACACAGTACAGCTTGAATATGTCTAATATCACACAAACTCAGAATACTTGCGGCCGAAAACCAACAAACTGGCTGAAGAAGCAGCGAAAACAGGACTCCAGGTGAACATAGAGAAGAGAAGGTGATGAAGATAGCCAACAAACCGCAACAGCAACAACAACTAGTATAAATCACTATCAACGGGAGAGGTTTGACAGAGGTTACTTCCTTGACTTATCTATGAAGCATCGTTTCAACTACAGGCAGTCGGAATGGACGAAGATGTCGAATTCATAATCGGAAAGGCAAGAAACGCCTTCACCAACCTGCAACCAGTTTGGAAATCTTCCGAACTCAGCATAAGGAACAAGATTCGCATTTTCAACACCAATGTCAAGTCGGTTCTTCTACACGGGTCAGAAATTCGCACTGCGTGTCACAAAAAGGATTTCCAACAGGTCGTAGACTTTTATCAACAGTCGCCTTCGCTCCATGCTGAAGATCAAACGGCCAGAGAAAATAAGCAACAAGAAACTATGGGGACAAACCAACCAAGAGCTTATTGACCAACAAATATGTAGGAGCAAATGGAGATGGGTCGGGCATACATTGAGGAGGCCGCCGAAGGACACCGCACGCCGGGCCCTCGAGTGGGTTGCAAATAGGAAGCGACGAGTGGGTGACATGGAGGAGAGCGTGTGAGGAAGAGACGAGATAGTTTGGTCAATCGTGGAACCAGCCGAAGAGGACGGCAGACAACAGAACAAAGTGGAGAATTGTTGTTGTCGAAGCCGTATGTTCCACTCAGAACCCAAGGGAATAATAATAGTAATAACAATAATAGTAATAATATAGGTAGCTTACTGCCTCCAAAAGTAATTGTTCCAAAATGTAGGACTGAATTGAGTAGAATATTGTTCACTTTGCATGATGTGAGGATCACTTTTCCTTAATGGAAAATAAAAGTATCATTAAAACAGGCATTATAATTTAAAGTTCAGAGAAAAAAAATACAGGATATTTTAATAACGTGAGTTAGGGTTCACATGGAACAGGTTGGTTTAACAGTGGAACCAGACAAATAAATATTCCCAACATTAGATCATATCATACCGCTTCAGTCTGAATGTTATCCTACAACTAACTGAATTCATGTGCTAAACATTACAATGAATGCCAACTTAGAGTTCAAGTGTTGGTTTGTAGGGATTTGAGTGGTTACAGGATTTCATCATGAGATGACATTACTTAGAGAACCACTGGAAAACCTAGGAGTACTGGACAGCTGTTTCGTCCTAGTTTGCGACGACACTTGAATATCAATGAGATGCTCACTAGCCACTTGCCCTATTCAGGTAGGTAGTTACCTGGGGTTCTAGTGAGAAGCCGTGACCAGTAGGGTGCAGCTGGTCGACTGTGAGGACAAATACTCGCCGAAGACATTGGCTAGGGTCGTGCTATGTCATGAATTGGCAGAAGTTAGAATTCATGGGCTGGCCATTGGATCGGGTCCCGTGGCTTAATGGTATACGAGCTCGCCTTGTTACCAGAAGGTCCTGGTTTCGAATCTCGGTAGGTGCGTGTTGCTGAGGAGTCCGAAACTAGTACGAAACAGCTGTTAGTACTCCCAGGTTTTCCTATGGTTCTCTAACTAAGGTCAGCTCATGATGAAATCATGTAACTTAGAGTTCATTGTTAGGTTCTCGATGGAGATGAAACAATAGTTAACCTGTCTTTGATCGAATTAAGCTTGAATTTTTACTAATCATTTTATCACACTCAGTAGAACATAAACGGATTTCATTTTCGAGACTAAATTTTAGACTCAGTACGTTTTGTTTGAAAGACTACCCCATGAAAACAATAGTTGGTGATCATGTGCACCATTGACCAGAATAGATAAATTTTTCTGTTCGAGCTACAAGTGTATACAAAGAGTGTTTCGTTTGAATGAATAAGCATTTACAATTTCTGGATATACTATTCCATCATGGTGAGACTTGAAAACAAAAAAAGTACTTTAAAAAAAAAGAAAAAGAACAACGCCCATCCTGTAATGTGTAGGTAAATACTACGTAATTTTATTACCCCATATACGGATGTTTTCTGTGATTAGCACAGTCAGTGATACAACTTCCAGTTATGAAGTATAAAATACTCCAGGCTAATGTAGTATACATTCAAAGCACGCATCCAGTATTCAACCTGTAGATATATGCACACTTTGAAGCGGTAGAGCATAGGAAACTGCTATAGTTGTTCACATACCATTGACATACAATTATAATTAGCTGGTCCATTCCACAATACACAAACGTATCATGGATATTATTTGAAATGGAAAGACTAAAGCATGAATTCAATATAGTCTGTGTGTGTGCCTATAACTTCACATTATGTACCAATAAACCAACATACAAGCACACTAGTAAACAGTTAGATAAGCCAGGTAGGTAGTCATTTCCTTTCTAGTTTTTCCAGTCAATACTATCATCATATCTTATTGTTTTATTGCATGGAGGATTTCATCATGGGCTGACATCAGTTAGACAACCACTGGAAAACCTGGGAGTACTGGACAGCTGTTTCATCCTGGTTTGGGACTCTCCAGCAGTACGAACCCATGGGGGTTTGAACCCAGGAACTTCCGGTTACAAAGCGAGCTCGTAGACAATTGAGCCACTGGGACCCGATCCAGTACTCCCAGGTTTTCCAGTGGTTCTCTAACTGATGTCAGCTCATGGTGAAATCCTCCATACAATCAAACAAAATCCCTACAAAACCAATACTTGAAAATTAATCTGATGCTCACTAGTGACTGGCCCTATTCAGGTAGTTAATCTTGGGTTCTAGTGGGGAGCCGTGACCAGTAGGGTGCAGCAGGTTGATGAGGCAGTAACCCATCGAGGAAGACATTGTGAAGTGGTCACGCTATGTCGTGAATTGGCAGAAGTTAGAATTCATGGAGTAGCCATCGGATCGGGTCCCAGTGACTCAATGGTCTACGAGCTCGCTAGCCTTGTTAACCAGAAGGTCCTGGGTTCGAACCCCAGTGGTTGTGTACCGATGAAGAGTCACAAACTAGTGGGACGAAACAGCTGTCCAGTACTCCCAGGTTTTCGGATGGTTCAAATATGCATCCACTTTATTTACAGATAGAATACAGTTCAGTTGGGGAAAGAAAACAAAAACCATGTTTAACAATAGCATTGTGCCTTACACCATAGACTATCATCCGCTACAGGACAACTAGGAGAAAAGAAGACTACGCAACTGGTTCATCTAAGTTTAGGAATGCTTTAGCAGTACATAAAGCTCACTGTCAATCAGAAATTGACTTTACGATCGATTTTAAGACGCTCTAACAGAAGTTTCAACTAAGCTGAGAGTACCAAACCATAGCCGAGCTATATTGAGGATTGAAAGAGTTTTGAAAACGCCACATACTAATCAGTCAAATATCCGTCATGATGGTTCTAAACTTGATATTAAACAGCCTCGAAGCTATAATAGTTTGTTTTATAAAAAAAAACTGGCTTGAGATCACATGACTCCACTTAAAAGTAAGTAAATGTCGTTGGTCTTCAATACAGGCGCCATATTACCTCCACTTTCAATTTCTCGTACTTTGTCTTGTGCGATAAAAAGTCATTTAATTTATTTACGATTTAATTTTTTTCAACGTCAGGTATAGAAAAACTTGCGGGTCTGTAATAAATTATACTTAATGGCCTGAAACTTTTGACACTAAATGATAAACTTGCTATCTTTCATTAGTACTCATCTGGTTAGAAACGTCATTGACACAGCGATCCCCCTTTATGGGGACTTCTATGAGCTATTAGAACACCCCGAGGTTACAGAAAACGCTTGTATTGGTAGTGAAGACTGTATTAACAAAACACTTCCGCATTAAGCAAGTCAGCGAGAACTAACCCGTAAACCCTTTTAACCAAAAACCTTCACAAAGGAACCAAAAAAAATCGTATACATAAGTAAGAGACAATGCAACCAATAGAAAAAAGAATGAGTTTATCTAAGTATGCAACATACCAACATACAGTTTCCACCTCATCACCACCTAGATGTATGTATTCATCTACGAATAAGCTAAAAACTTCATTGAATAGTTTCTCCAAAAATGTATATGTTCTGTTCAAAGCTGGATTAAGTGGGCCGAAATACCCCGTCTTTTGAGAACACTGTGACATAATTTCTGGATGTGATAAAGAAACACTTCGAGTATGGCCTAAGGGTACACAAAAAAAACAGAATATAAAGGAGAAAACTAATCAATTCGATAGTAAACTGATGAATCTGAGAAATTGATACATAAGTAACGATTTTAACATAATACCGCCTCAGAGAATTGTGCATGCATTCTTTATTTAGACAAGTCTACCATTCACTATGCGCACCTGATATTTGGTAAAACTTTTGCAATAATAAAAATCTTGATTTAAGTGCATACACATTCTTTTGTAGCGAATCACGTTAACATATCACTATAAAACTGTTTGTGTTATGCTGAAAGTAATCCATATATACTATTCGGTAAAATAGTGATGAATAAAAGGCGATTCCAAATAAGACTAAAACTATATTAATGGTACCAAAAATGTTGCATGGAAAAACTTAGTAATATCTATGATACTCATGTTGAAGGAAGTAAAGTAATACGCAGTAATATGTAGCAACATATACAAGAAACGGATGTATACCTAAGATATGTTGGTGACATTTTTATTGTCTATGAAAGCAGATCAAAAGTGGAAGATATGTTGATAAAATTCAACTCATGCCATCCAAATCTCAATTTCACAGTAGAACATAAGAAAAACGATACTATTAAATTCCTAGACGTTTTTCTAACGAAAATGAATGATGGCACAATCGAAAGATCTATATTTAGAAAATCTTCATGGACAGGACAGTATATGCATTTCAAGAGCTTTGTTCCAATCCAGTATAAAAAGAACTTAGTCAGAACACTGTTCAATAGAGCACGAAAAATTTGTTCTGACAGTACTATTGAGCATGAAATAAAATCTCTGAAGAACATTTTATCAAAGAATGGATATCCTGAGAAGTTCATTAATAAATACTCTAAAGAAACCACCCCTTCCAAAACAATTCAAACAGTTCCGAAGAAACCTGTCTGTATCAATTTGCCGTTCAAAGATGACGTACAGGAAGTAGTCAAACGAAGACTCGATAAAGTCATCAAGAGAACTTATTATGCTGCAAAACTTGTTATCCTTAACACCACCAAGCGAGTGCTTCAACAATCTGGGAAAGACCAGTCGCCAATCCTCGACACTTTAAACTTCGTATATCAATTTGAGTGTGTTTGTGGCAGCAAATACATAGGTCATACGGAAAGGCGATTGTCTACTCGCATGATGGAGCATTTGCCAAAATGGTTGGAAACAGCTGAGTGCAAAGTGCCAAAATCCCCAATAACAAAACATCTTGTGGATTACGGACATGATATCGATGCGATCAAGTCATTCACTATTGTCAGCAGACAAAGAAACAAGATTTAGATTAGATTTATTCCTTCACGTTCCCAGTGGAACATAGTGCTTCAAGCTAGTGGCTTGAAGTTTCTGTAGCAGTCCTTATTTTTTACAGGATGGGGTTGCTAGCCTCATGCCCAACCTTTCCTCCTTACCATCTTTCATTTCTGGGTTAGCGAGGTAAAGGAGTGAGTCAGCCAGGGATCGAACCCAAAAGAAACAAGAAGATGCTTGCAATTGCAGAGGCTTGTGCAATTCGAATTTATAAACCAGGCCTCTGTATACAAAAGGAGATGGTCGTGACTCTGAATCTACCATAGTAATACGTTTTACTTATTATTCTACCCTTTATTATTATTATCATTATTATTCTTGATTCATTTAAAACTATGTTTTATCAGTAGGATTATCTTGACTCACTTCAACACTATTATTATTATTGTTATTATAACTATTACTATTGATATTAGTCTGTTTGCAATTCTCGCTATATTCCCTAAAGACTAATTGTTTATCTAAGTGATGTAATTGAAGCGTAATGCAATTTATCTTAATTTCGATCTCTCATACTCTCTCTCCCCTTATCTATTTGAACATGACCTGGAAAAAAATTCGCAGCTGTCTCTCTGCATGACTAATTCAATGTAGTTTGTTTACTTATCAGTCTTATATCTCCAAATGTAATTTCAAAAGTATATATATCCGTGTATGTAGAGTAGTCAACTGACGAGTTCTACCGAAATTTGATGAATTCATTAAATCCTGCTTTATTAACCTTTATTGTTTGTTTTAAAGTCTCTAAAGATGAACTAGTGAGTGGTGCTCCATCCAAATACTCAACATTCTTCTTACCAACAACCTTAAGCTAATCGAAATCATCTACAATTAATTTATCTCAGTAAGGGTAGTAAAACTGTGTAACAGGATACATGCTAGTTATCTGGTGGTAACAAGCAGTTTTAATCTAAAAGTAGTTAACTATAGCCGGAATACACCGGCTTAGTTTAACCCTTCAGACTGTAGCTAATCCGCTGCACAACTGGACTAGGAATTGTAACCAGTTTATAAGGACTGTTTTACAAAATTGACTAAGCGTATGCTGAAGAACACTGGCCACCTCAGCATTATAACTACACTCAAAAGCAACAAAAACCTGTCTTTAAAAAAACAACTTATTTTTCATGATTTCTAGAATATTTAAGAGCTTCATTCACCAAAAACACTGATTCAAAGCAATTAATGAAACAAATTACAACCAAGGGAGTAAAACAATCGAATAACTTACGCCATTCTTGCAAAAAAAATGGTTTATCAAAGACTCGTTTAAAACACAGCCTACACACATTTCTAAGATGGTATTGCTGATTTTCAATGTTAAAATCAAGTCAAAAAGGGAGACTTATATTCTCACAAACTTAACCAAAATAATACATCACTATTATTGTTTAAAAAATATATATATTTTTTATAGACAGACCACTTGAAGAGTGATTTTTCAACGAAAAATAATTTCACTTATGATTATGAGAAATATTGTTGTCTTCAATTCTGGAGAGTAAGCTGATCTATGTCTTCTTCACTGTTTGAATATCAGTGTACACAGCGCTATCATCACCAATTCAACTGTTGCTCTTGCACTGCAAAAGTATTTTTTTGTTTTGTTTATGCTTATTCACTGTTCTACAATTATGGCAAACAAAAGGGAATCACTTTGCCAAATGAGAATTTCGAAAGACTAGTTACACTCAAACAAATAGACTTAGTTTTCTATAGTTTGGTTTGTAAGGGTTAGTTATGCTTTTACGAGTTGATCACAGACTGATATCAGTTAGAGAACCATTGAAAACCAGAACTGGAGTACTGGACAGCTGCTGTTTCCTCCTAGTTTTGGGAATCATCGGGAGTACGCACCCACTGCCAGGGTTCGAACCCAGGACCTTCCGGTTACAAGGCAAGCTGGCTCGTATACCATTCAACCACTGGGACCCGATTCAATGGCCAGTGCATGAATTCTAACTTCTACCAATTCGTGACTTAGTTGAGTAGGAAAAGAAAATACAGTGATACGCGAAAACACTTGGCACTGTGTACGTTTTCAAAGCAAACAAACATTCAGTAAATTGCACAACTTCTAATCTATTTATAGAGACGAATAACAAATAAATCAATAAAATACATAGAACATGCGAGATGTTGAGTGATAAATAATAAGTAAGCGAGATGAGAGGTGTTCAGTAATTCGACGATGAAATCGCCTGATTGTACGCCCTATGTAACTACTAGATCCGCACAGGCAGTTAATCTGGTAATTGCACATGGAAGAGACGAAATAGGACAGTCTGCCTTTATTTCTTGAACTAAGTATTGGTCAGCTAGTGAACATATAGCATAGCTTGGCTGCATAGAAAGTCCTTTTGAAGGCACTTCTCAGACGTTCTGATAAAATATCACTATTGACATCACTCGTGAATTTTAATCTGAGGAAGACAGATATTTTCGACGCAGAGGGCACTTTAGACTTTTTACTTGCTGAATTCATGTGTTTGTTCAAGAATTTAGTCGGATATCCATTTCAACTTAGTGGATCACGAATAGTATTGAATTCTTTGTTCAGTGTCTCATTTGAACAGATAACTCTAGCCCAGTGAAGCAAGCATCTAACCAGAATACGTTTGTATTATGGAGGTACGAAACTCAGGAAGTGAGTATACTGTCCAGTGGAAGCAGATTTACAATGTAAACGTCTATATAGTGTTCCGTCTGTTCATTTAATCATTAAAACGTCCAAAAAGGAAAGAGAATCATTTTTTCCTTTAGTGAAGCATATGCGACGATGTGCACTTTTGGATTTATCCAATATGTCCTTGGTCTGAATTCAATTACAAAATGCTATGAAATGGGAGACAATGGTGAGGATTAGTCATACTAGATTTAAAGAATGTGGGGTAGGAAAACTTGACAAGTCAGTTCAAGGTTATAAAAGGTGTCAGGTGAGTGAGTGGCTAGTACAAAGTAGTATGTATTAAAGAGGAGATAGTAAGACTGCAACGAGAGGTCCATCATGAAATAATCAATGTGTGAAATGAACCAGGTGGACATAACAGAAAGAGACATAACGAACTTTTTAAAGGATTTGAAAGGTTCAGGGTATAGATAACCAAAAACATACGAAAACGTAAAACGCTCTGGTAACACCATCTCAAGCAAGTACGATCTACCGAAAGTGTTTAAATCAGGAGTGCACCTATGTTCCATACTAGGCATGTCTCATACACCCTATCAAGAGACGGTGAATTGGCTAGTACAGCTAATTCAACCCTTGCATGATGAGTTATTAAAGCATAGCGTCAAGGATACATTCCAACTTATTGCTAAGATTAGGAACTTGAACGCAACTGGCTAATATATATGGCATCACTTGTTGTTTCATCTTTATTTACTAATGTGCCTCTGGTGGAAACCATCGATTATATCTGCGGACAGATTACAGAAAGGAAACTGTGCACTGATATTCCCAATAGTAATCTGAAACAACTACCTTTTTAAATGTGAAACAAATTTGCAGTTCTTGTTTAATAATGAAATGTACTGACAGGTTGATGGAGTGACAATGGGATCTCCACTAGGACCTATTTTTCCTAACATATTTCTAGCAAAACTAGATAAAAGTCCGTTGAAAGATGAAATAGCGCAAAAATGGAAATGTATTGTTGTTAAATGGATGATACGT